AGAAACAATACAACCTGAACAACACAGAGAATATAGGTTTTAAAAAAGACAGAGCCTTAGGGACCTGTATGACTATAAAAAAGTATAAAATTTGTTTCATCAGAGTTTTAGAAAGGGGGAAAGAGAGCACAAATAAAAAAAAAACTTTAAAAGAAAATGGCTGAAAACTTCTTACATTTGGCTAGAGACATAAATGCACAAATTCTAAAAACTGAGCAAATCACAAACAGAATAATTCCAACAAAATCTATACAAAAATTGTAACTTAAACTTCTGAAAACTACAGATAACTAAAAAAATCTTTAACTAGTCAGAGAAAAATAACATTTGAACTATAGAGGCAAACCAATTTCAGCGGCAGCAGATTTCTCATTAGAAACCCTGGAGCAAGAAAGAACTGGTACACATTTTTTTCCATCAAAGTAGACCCAGTATCCTATATTCGATAAAAGAAAATCCTTCAGGGATGAAGGGGAAATCAAGACATTCTAAGATGAATGAAAACAAAGAAAATTTGTTGCCAGGAGACATACCCTAAAATTATCACTAAGGGAAGTTTTCTAAACAGAAAAGACAGAAAAAGAAAACTCCTTAGGACATCACAAAAGAAAAAAGAACACAGGAAACAAAGATGTAGCTAAAAAATAGGCTTTTCTTCTATTCTTGAGCTTTCTAATTATATTTGATGGTGGAAGTGAAACCATAAGATTGTCTGAAGTGGTTCTAAATATATGTAGAGGAGATATTTAAGACAATACATTAAGTAGGAAGGTAATGAGATACAGAAAAATGTAAGGTTTCTATACTTCACTTGAACTGGTAAAATTATAGAGCCACCAGACAGTGATAATTATATATATAATTAATATATATATAATGTAATACTTCCAGTAACTGCTAAAGAAGCTGTCACTTCTTTTGAGATATCACCCCAAAACAAGGTGAATACAAACGAGATTTGAAAACATTTGTCAAGTAGTCCATTGGAAGGAAGAATCAATGAAACAGGAGAAAGAGAGAGAGAGAGAGAGGAAGGACAACAGAAAATAAAATGACAGACCTAAGTCATAACATATCAATAATTAAATTAAATTTAAATGGTCTAAATACACAAATTAAAAGATGTAGACTGGAAGAGTGGATTTAAAAGCATGACTCAACTATATGTTGTCCAAAAGAAACTCAGTTTGAGTATAATCATGTAAGAAAGTTGAAAGTAAAGGATGGATAAAATATATCAGGCAAACATTAAGCAAAGGACAACAGAACTGGCTATATTAATATCAGAGAAAGTAGACTTTTGAGAACAAAATTAAAAAAGACAGAAAGGGACATAATGTATGATTTAAAAAAAGTCGAGAAGTCATAACAATCCTAAATGTGCATGCACCAAACAACAGAAGTGCTAAATATGTAAAACGAAACCAATAGAACAGAAAAGAGAAATATCTAATTCCACAATTACAATTAAAGACTTCAATTGTCTTTAACTTTGTCAACAATAGATAGAACAATCTATAGAAAACCTAGATATAAAATCCTGAAGGATACAGAAGAACCTGACAATTTCCCTGACCAACAGGAGTAATCAACATTCATAAACAGCTGACTACACGTTCTTTTCAAGTGCCCACATAACATGTACAGACATGGACCACATCAGGGGCCATAATTCACATCTTATAAATTTAAAATTTAAAAAAAAAAAGGAACTTATGGGGCACCTGGGTGGCTCTTTCGGTTAAGGTTCTGACTCTTGATTTCAGTTCAGATCATCAGATCTCAGTTTGTGAGTTCAACCTCTGTGTCAGGCTCTGTGTTGACAGCACTGAGCCTTCTCCAGATTCTGTCTCCCTCTCTCCCTGCCTCTCCTCAGCTTGGTCTCTTTCTCTCTCCTAAAAATAAATAAAAAAAAAAAACACCCTCCCTCAAAAAAAAAAAAGCCTTAAAATCAAACAGAATATGTTCTTTGAATACATAGAATCAAACTAAAATTCAACAACAGGAAGATCACAGGAAAATTTCCAAATACTTGGAGACTAAACAACACACTTCCAAATAACTCATTGTCCAAAGAAAAAGTTTCAATGAAAATAAAAAATATACTTAACTGAATTAAAATGAAAATACAATGTATTTAAATTGTGAGACACAGTAAAAACAGTGCTAGAGGGAAAATTATAGCACTAAATAAATATATTAGAAAAGAAGAAAAGTTGCAAATTCTCACCTAAAAAACCTAGAAAAAGAAGAGCAAAATAAACCCAATATAAGCAAAGGGAGGAAATAATGAACAAAATCAATGAAATTGAAAACAAAACAAAACAAACATCAATGAAATAGAGTTGTTTCTTTGAAAAGATCAATAAAATTGACTAACTTCTAGAAAGACCATCAAAAAAATGAGAAAAGTCACAAACTACTAATATCACAGGGGGAAACAGTATCACTACAGACACAGTTATGAAAAAAATAAGGGAATGAACAACTTAACTTGCATACATTTGACAACTTAGATGAAATGAACCAATTCCTCATAAAACACAAACTACCACAACCAAAGGATATATAGATGGCAAATAAGCCATTAAAGGTGTTCATCATTACTAGTCATTAGGGAAATTGTATTTAAGTCCTAATGAGAAACCACTATACGCTATCAGAATGGCTGGAGAAAAAATTGTGACACTGTCAAATACTGCTGAGGCTGAAAAACTGGTTAATTCCAACCAACATTGCTTGTGGGAATGTAGTGCTATAAAGCCCCTCTGGAAAACTATTTGGCAGTTTCTTTAAATATTGTGTGGCACCTGGGTGTCTCAGTCAGTTTGCCTGACGTCTTTTACACAGGCTAAGTAAAAGAAGCCAGACACCAAAAGCTCGTGTATCATATGATTCCATATATGAAATGTTCAGAATAGGTAAGTCTATATATAGAGAGATTAGTGGTTGCCTAGGGCTGATGGGAGTGGAGAGGCTGGGGGTGACAGCTTTGTAGCTCTGGGTTTCTTTTTGGGGTAATAAAAATGTTCTAAAGTTGATTCTGGGCAACAATGCAACATGTGTACAAGTCATTCATGTTTTGCTACTTCATTTCTTTTTATTGCCAAATAATATTCCACTGTATGCGTATACCACAATTCGTTGATCCATTCGTGAATTAGTGCACATTTGGGTTGTTTCCACTGTTAAAAAAGAGGGGCGCCTGGGTGGCTCAATCCGTTAAGTGTTCAACTTTGGCTGATGGGGGTGGGGAGAGGTGGGGAATTGGGGGTGATGGGCATGGAGGAGGGCACTTGTGGGGATGAGCACTGGGTGTTATATGGAAACCAACTTAACAATAAACTATTAAAAAAATAAAGTTGATTGTGGGTTTGGACATTAAACTCTGTGAGTATACTATAGGCCATTGAATTGTTTGTGTACATGGATCGATGGTATGGGAATTAAATTTTGATAAAGTTGTTTAGAAGACCACCCTATACACGAACCGTGAGCCCAGATGCATCCCAGCTGCCCTTTGAACACAAGGGACACCTTGAGTGACAAGCACCCAGCTGGGTCTTGAAATCCTGATGCCTGCAATCATGAGCAAAATGACCTTCAGATCTATGAGTCCACACCCATCACAGCATTCAGCCATTCTCCCACCCCACATTCCCTCTAACTTTCCAAGGATCACCTTCTTCAGAAGATGTGGGATCACAAATGCCTGGGTTCCTGTCCAGATCTATGGCATCTGCAGCAAAGGGTGTGGGTATTTCTCTGCTTTGCACTGTGCAACTTCATCTGGACACAGATGTCAGGTAGAAGGTGGATCGACAAAGGTGGCTAGAGAGAGGCCTCATCACAGGCCAGTTGTTTCCAATAATTGATGTGTGGCCAAGAGGAGAAATGGATTCCTTTTGAGTGTATTGTCTGCTTGAATTCTTGACTCACTTTGAGCCAAATCATTTAGGAAGTAGTCTTTTTCTTTTGGATTTTAAAGAGCTTTTTCCATAAAGAGAATTTAGCCCTTTGCCAAATATCGAATATCTTCCAAATAACTTAGTCTGTGTTTCCATTTATCTCTTGACTCTGTGTATATGTGTGTGTGTGTGCAACAAAATGTGTGGCCAAATCAATCAGTCTTTACCATTTTAGTGTCTATGTTTTATACGTGCTTAAAAGGGCTTCTCAAATAGAGCACACAACTTTGTTTCAAACATCTGAGCGCTTAGCCAGGTGACTCAGATTTTATGGGCCCAAGGATCTGACTTCCTGTTTGGAGTTTTATCTTATACATCTCAGGTACGATCTTCTTTATGCTGATCTATATTTTGTTCTGGAAACAGAAATATGGATTCCCAAGTTTCTGAGTTCTTGGGAGCTCCCTCATTGTCACTGTAAGCTCTAACTGCCGAGTGGAATGGAGGCTGCTCTTCAGTGGAGCCTGGCTTGGGGCCTGAGAATCATCACCAAGAGAGGGAACCCCAATAAGGGGGAGGGAGGCAGAATTGGGAATTCAAAGTTAACGATGGGAGTAGATATGGCTAATGGGTCCATGGGGATCTGCTCATTTGTTCATCCCACGGAGGTAAGTTATGCAAGCACCATCATTGCCAAATGATGCTGTCTACCTGATGTTTCTGTGGGCAGCTCCTGCCAGCCACAGGTACCACCTCTTCAAGGACTTCTTGGTCCCAGATTCCCTGAGCCTGGCAGTGTGGTGCCTCATCCTGCTTTTAGGACTGTGGAGTCACATAACAGAATCTGACAGAAACTGCCATGGAAGTGCTTTAATTTCTAAGGGGTTCAGTCCAAAGCCCAGGATTTAGAGACAAGAGGTATGAAACAGGTGAGATTTCTGCACCAGAGACAGACACTGGTGCCTTTTGCTGAGCCTGTGGGCCTCTGAGAGCTGAGGGACCTGTCAGAGGTGTCTCACACTTGGGCAGCATCAGAGGGGCTGGGCTTACCTCACAAAGGGGCCATGGATGTGACCACTTGGCTATGGAGAGCAGCCAGAGGGCAGAAGCACCTCTGAGCTCAGGCCTGACTGACACTGCGACCAGGGGCATGAACTGAGTGTGCTGGGGCCAGAGAGTGGCCCACAAAAGGAAGCCACTTGGAGCTCAAGTCCTCAGGAAGGAGAAAGATACGACCTGTGGGAGAGGATAGCCAACTCAAGCCTCAGCAAGCAGAACGTGGTGAAGAGCTTGGTTCTGAGGTGTGCCTGGGGTATAGCTGGTGGGGAAGGACTGTGATGCCTGGGTGGTCTTCAAGTGTGCCCTAGGGAATTCATTCAGACATCGTGGAGCAGCTTGAGCAAGTCCCATGTGTATCAAGTCAGTGCAAATCAACAGGTGAGAGGCTAGGAAGGGAAAGGAACCAAATTAACACACTTCAGGTATGGAGGCAAGCAAGGGAGATGGAAAGGCCATGTTGCCCAGATCTCTGCTGCCTCAGCCTCCTCACTGATGGGGTTATGAGGCCCACAGTGGGGGTTTTATCAAAGTTGTGCAGCAGGTCAGAAACATACCCTGGCCCTGAGGAGACACACAGGCAAGTCTGCCTGTCACAGCCGTACATCCTGAGATTTGGTTGGTGGTTCCTGGAGTGAGGACACATGAGGCCAGGATGGCATCATTGCTGGGTGGTTAACATAAGACCTCATAACTATTCTGTGCTTCATGTGTCTCATGTGTAGTTGGTGTCTGATGGACATCAGGTATCTTGTTTCTGCCATCACATTCCTTGTTCAACTTAGGTGAGATGTAGTTACCATTTGTCTGTGAGGAACACAACTTATGGATTCTGCCTTTGTCTTTGCTGGGGGAGGAAAACTTTATCCTTCAATATTCTTCTAATCAGACTAAGAATCAAATTGACATTCAATAGATTAACAGGAAAAAAATAAAATTTAATTTCATACAGGTAGGGAATCCAGACAGACATGGAAATTCCAAAGACAGATAGGTAAACTGAGGTATGTATGTCATTCTGAATTAAGGAAAAAAGATACAGGGTCTGGAACTTCAAAGGGAAGGAATGTAATCTTCAGAAAGAATAAAAAAAAATAGATGTTTTGTAAACGAATCTTTGTTGAGATCACAGAAACAATGGGACACAGAGAGGACTTTGATCCAACAGGCCTTGCTAGGTTCCTTCCTGTCTACCATATTTTGTTCACAGTATAATATAGTTGTCTGTGGTGGTAGCTATCTCCCTGGAGCAGGCCCTCTTTCTAAATTCTTTTTGGGAAGTTGAGGGAGGGGAGGAGGTTAAGAACTTTTCCTGAATCTACTAGATTTTTTTGTTTTTTATTTTTTATATTTATTTTTTAAAGTTTATTTATTTAGGGGTGCCTGGGTGGCTCAGTGGATTAAGTGTCAGACTTCAGCTCAGGTCATGATCTCATGGTTTGTACGTTTGAACCCCTCATTGAGCTTTGTGCTGAAAGCTCAGAGCTGGAGCCTGCTTTGGATTCTGTGTCTCCCTCTTGCTTCACCCCTCTAGTGCTCTGTTTCTCTCTCAAAAATGAATAAACATTAATAAAATTTTTAAAAACTAAAGTTTATTTATTTATTTTGAGAGAGAGAGTTCAAGCAGTGGAATGGCAGAGAGAAAGGTGGGGAGCAGGGGGAGAATCTGAAGCAGGCTCCATACTATCAGCATGGAGCCCAATATGGGGCTTGATCATGAACCATGCTATCATGACTGGAGCCAAAATCAAGATTTGAGCTACCTGGAAGCCCTGTTTTGTATTTTTTATTAAGTCAAAATAATCTTTATGCTAAAGTGGCTCATCTTTAGGTGTCCTGACCTTGGCCTCTACATCTCTCAAGATATTTGTTTATTCATTACCTATATATAACACATTAAATATTGTTCCTCTGTCTCACAAACTACATCCTGATTCACCTTCTGTAGTAGAATGGAATGTCCTCAGAAGCAAATGCACATTACAAGCTGTGATCTACACATACTCATCTGTTAGGTTGAGGTAGATCTGAAAGTATGTGTCAGGCAGGCAAAAGCTCTGACACTCAGTCAAGTCACCTGAGGCATTTACTTGAGCTCTTTAAGCGTCCCACTTTCCTCTTGTGTAAAAGGGGCTGCTCATTATGTGGCCCCAAAAAGGATGATTAAATAAGAGAAACATGTGACATTCTTATCATGAGGGCTGGAACAACTCAATAACACTCCATAAATAGATCTCAACGTGATTGTTAGTGAGCCTAACTGGAAACAGGGGACATTCAGGGGGCACTTTTGAGGCCAGACAAAGGTTCTGGCTGAGGATTTTCATACATGATCCTGGAGAGGAAACAATAAGATGAGTTTTGAGACCCATGTTCTCCCTGTGGCAATGTGTCTGTTGCAGGTCCTTAAGCCATTCTGTGCACAGAGACAGGCAGGCACTTACAGTGGATATGTTGGGACCTCACAGATAAGGAGGCAGGGATCTCCTGGTAGGGAAGGGAAAGATTGTGAGTACATTGAGGCATGCATCCTTCCAGAAAGAAACAGCCAAAATGGGAATTGTGACTGCCAATTTCTCACTCATCTTCTCTTTGGGAAAGGAGAGAGAGAAGCCCATAGGACACAGAGATAACAGAAGTTCTCCCCCTTTACTCCTAGCAGTGCCAGAAAGACCTGAGGGTGCAGTAGCAGCAGGGCCAGCCCAGCTCACATCCTGCTCCAACCTTGGAAGGACAGAAGGAAGAATGCCTGTGCCCCCTTGTCTGAGGTGCCATGGCCAGACTCTGCCTGAGCCTGCTGCTCCTGGTGGCCACTGTGGCCTTTGTGTCCAGAGGTGTCCATCCCTGGGGCAGGTCAAAGGTGGTGAGGAAATTCCAAGACATCCCTGAAACCTATGTCTATGTGCAACAAGCTCTGTGGTTCGCTATGAAAGAATTTAATAAGAGCAGCAAAGACAAGTACAGTTACAATGTGGTGAAGGTCCTGAAATCCCAGGAGCAGGTCAGTGAGCATTTTCTCCTTGCTCTTTCTCTCCAAGATGTAGTTGTGGGGGGTCCCATTATCCATGGAGGGTCACAGAGACAAGGGAGTAGAAAGCAGCTGAGAAATCTCTGTAGTCAAATATATATTAATTTTGTTTTAGGGGTTTTTGGAGGAAAATTAATTAGTCTTCATCATTTATTATTCTGGGATGAAACATAAAATATCCATTAACATAATTGAAAATTGATTATAGTGGTATCAGAAAGCATAGGTGAGAACCGAAAAGGGTTCTTGAAGGGTCCCATTTGGAACAATTTGGGCTGATATCATCAAAATGAGTAATTACAGGTATGGATTATAACAGTGAAAAAGCAAAGAAAGTGCACTCCCAGGTTTTAGGGGGGGAGAAAAGGACCCAGGAGGACTCAGGACAGAGAAGGGAAGGCTTTTCTTTTACAGAAAAATACCTACCTGTAGATGTAAAAGACTATGTAAGTAGGAAATTGTCATGGCCACAACTACTTTAGGCAAACATCATCAATGAATCCTACATCCACTTGGTAGGACTCCAGAAAAATTGCTGGGGTGATTCTTTCATTAATTATTAACAGGGAAAATATACGCCTACAATTAGGAAATCTGGTGAATGCCTCAATCACCCAATGTTCATCACCAACACTGGGACGAATTGACATCATATGCCACTGATGTGATGTCATGGAAGGGACACAACCTCACCTGTCATGGTATTCTTGTCTAAAATCCATCCCCTGAGATGGAGAAATATCTATCATGTTACTGGAAGTCAAAAGAAAGCTGGAATAGCTATACTTATATCAGACAAACTGGACTTTAAAGTCAAGGCAGTAACAAGGGATGAAGAGGGCATTATAAAATAATTACAGGGTCTATCCATCAGAAAGAGCTAACAATTATAAATTTCTATGCACTGAATACGGAAGCACTCAAATACATTAAACAATTAATCACAAACAGAAACAATCTTATGGACAAGAATGTGCTAACAGCAGGTGACTTTCATACTCCACTTACAGCAATGGATAGATAAACTAGACAGAAAATCACGAAAGAAACAATGGACAAAAACAGACACATAGACCAATGGAATAGAATAAAGAACTCAGACTGGACCCACATGGGTAGGGCCAATTTGACTTTGACAAAGCGGGAAAGAGTATCTAATGGAAAAAAGACAGCCTCTTTAACAGATCATGCTGGGAGAAGTGAACAGCAACATGCAGAAGAATGAAGCTAGAACACTTTCTCACACCATACACAAAAATAAACTCAAAATGGATAAAGGACCTGAATGTGAGACAGGAAACCATCAAAACCCTAGAGGAGAAAGCAGGAAACAACCTCCTTGACCTCAACCGCAGCAATTTATTACTTGACACATCCCCAAAAGCAAAGGAATCAAGAGCAAAATGAACTATAGGGATGTCATCAAGATAAAAAAAAAAACATCTGCATGACAAGGGAAACAATCGATAAAACTAATAGGCAACCGATGGAATGGGAAAAGATAGTTGCAAATGCCATATCAGATAATGGGCTAGTATCCAAAATCTATAAGGAACTCACCAAACTCCACACCCAAAAAACAAACAATTCAGTGAAGAAATGGGCAGAAGACATAAACAGACACTTCTTCAAAGAGGACATCCAGATGGCCAACAGACACATGAAACGATGCTCAGCATCCCTCATCATCAGAGAAAAGCAGATCAAAACCACACTGAGATACCACCTCACGCTGGTCAGAATGGCTAAAATGAACAAATTAGGAGACTCTAGATGCTGGCGAGGATGTGGAGAAATGGGCACCCTCCTCCACACTGGTGCTAATGTAAACTGGTGCAGCCCCTCCGGAAAACAGTGTAGAGGTCCCACAAAAAATTGACAGTGGAACTCCCCTATGACCCAGCAATAGCACTGCTAGGAATTTATCCAAGGGGTACAGGAGTCCTAATGCAGAGGGGCACATGGACCCCAATGTTCATAGCAGAACTCTCAACAATAGCCAAAACATGGAAAGAGCCTAAGTGTCCATCAATGGATGAATGGATCAAGATGTGGTTTATCTATATGATGGAATACTATATGGCAATGAGAAAGAATGAAATCTGGACATTTGTAGCAACGTGGATGGACCCTGAGGGTGTTATGCTGAGTGAAATAAGTCAGGCAGAGTAGGACAGATACCATATGTTTGCACGTACAGGAGGATTAGGAGGAACTTAAAGGAGGACCATGGGGAAAGAGAAGGGGAAAAATAGTTGGGGAGAGGGAGAGAGGAAAACCATGAGAGACTCTTGAATGCTGACAACAAACTGAGGGCTGATGAAGGTTGGGGAGAAGGGGAGGGGGGAGTTGAGCATGGAAGAGGGCACTTGTTGGGATGAGCACTGGGTGTTATATGGAATCCAGCTTGACAATAAACTATTTTAAAAAATAAGAAAAATATTTCATTCTTGAAAGAAGGGAAGAAAAAATAAAATAAGATAAAAACAGAGAGGGAGGCAAACCATAAGAGACTCTGTATTCTATAGAGAACAAACTGAGGGTTGCTGGAAAGGATATGGTGGGAGTATGGGCTAAACAGGTGATGGGGATTAAGGAGTGATGTTTTGATATGTGATAAACACTTGGGTGTTATATGTAAGTGATGAATCACTAAATTCTATTCCTGAAACCAATACTGTACTACTTGTTAACTAACTTGAATTTAAATAAAATCTTGGGAAAAAGAAGGTAATATGGAGGAACACTTAGACAAATCCATGTTATAGGACTTTTTGTAGGACCTCTTAAAAATGAAAGACCAGGAGAAAAAGCAGGAAAACTACTTGATTAAATGAGATGTAAGAAACAAGACAACTAAATGCAGTAAGCGGTCTTATATTATCTCTTGAATTAAAAAAAAAACATATACAAGATGTTATTGGAGTAGTTGGATGAATTGGAATACAGACTGTATCATAGAAGAGAGCATTGCACCAATATTGTCTCCTGAGAAAGATGATTGGACTGTGGTTTGGGGGAACCTCAGAGAATAATCAGTAGGTACACAGAAGGAAAGGGGTTCAGCCAGTCTGGCTGGAGTTTAAGGAAGGGAAGAGAGAGTGGCTGATGGGGGATGGGGGCTATCCTGCAACATCAAAGTGACGTGTAGTACAGGGATTGGTTTTTGCTCTTCCCTTTTCACTGGTTCTGTCTCCTCTTGCCCCTCTTCCTTCCAACTTTTGCTGTCCATCCCTCCAGGTCACCAGGAACCTTCTCAGGTTCCCAGTTTCTTAACAGGGTCAGGAAAGAAGGCTCACTTGGCAGCTTCATCCTTTATGAGGATGGGACATTTGGTCCCTTGTCTACCCTCCACCCACACACAGACCTTGGCTCTCTTCCTCACCACTGGGTGGCCGAAGTAAAGCCTCATAAACATCAATTGCCTCGGGGGTCTCATTTATATTTAGTGCCTGTCCTTAATGAAGTTCCCACCTTGTCCAAAACTATTCTACTCTCATGGACTTCTCTTTATCTAGGCTTTTTAGCTTCCACAAATAAATTATTCTGCTTTAAAGACAGGTATTTAATCAAATATACGCCAAGTTTTCATGTCCCTCAAATTATATATTATTTTGTACTGTGTGCTATTTTTTTTTTTGCCATGAATGTATACTTTATTTCTCAGCTCACTATAAACTCTTGAATGCAGGTAAGAATTCAAAAGAATCAAGTTGAAATGAGTTAAAAAAAAGAGGCTAGAGTAGAGGTATTTGAAACTCCTTGGGACACCTGGTTAAGTGGTTAGGTGTCTGACTTCAGCTTAGGTCATGATCTCGCAGTTTGTGAGTTCGAGCCTCTCATCAGGCTCTGTGCTGAGAGCTTAGGGCCTGGAACCTGGTTCAGATTCTGTGTCTCCCTCTCTCTCTCTCCCCCTACCACACTTGCTCTCTCCCTCTCTCTCTCTCTCTCTTAAAAATAAATAAATGTTAAACAAAACAAAAGCAAAAAGAAAAGAACTTGGTGATAATTCAGATTAAATTTAGTAACACACACAGTCTCTATATAAAGAAAAGAGCTATATTTTATTGGATGATTTAACTTAAATGTACAAAGATCTAAATCAGAAGTTGGCCAATTATAGCCTGCAACCAAGTCTGGCTTGCTGCTTATTTTGTATGCCCCATGAACTAAGAATGGTTATAAGAAATAAAAAAAGAGTATTTTGTGACATGAAAATTACATAACATTTAAATTTCTGTGTCTATAAATAAAGTTTTATTAGAACATTGCCACTTGCATTATTTGAGTGCAGTCTAAGGCAACTTTAGCACTGCAATGACAAGAACGTATGTTCTGAGCCTAAAATATTTACTCTCCAGTCCTTAAAGAAGAAGTTTGCAGCCACCTGCTCTAGTTCATAGTTGACTGAGGCTCTGCTATAGATTTTGTGCAAGGTGAATGATGGTAAAAATGAGCACCATGGGTCCAATTATATGCTAATTTGTTTCAAGAAATATAGTGCAGTAATGTAAATGTATTTTCTCTTATGATTTTCTTAATAAAATTTTCTTTACCCTAGCTTACTTTATTGCAAGAATACAGTATATAATATATACAATACACAAAATATGTGTTAATTGACTATTTTATTGTTAGGTCTTCTATTAGTAGTTAAGTTCTTGAGGAGTCAAAAGTTCCACTTGGAGTTTTGACTGTGCTTGTAACCCCCACGTTGTTCAAGGGTCAACTCCAGTTGCTTTTCCTTTTCTTTCACCCTTTTGTCTTAACGTTATTTATTTTAAGAGAGAGAGAGGCAGAGAGAGAGGGATAAAGAGAATCCCAGGCAGGCTCTGCTCTGTCAGTGCCAAGCCTAATGTGGTGTTCCATCTTACTAACCATGAGATCATGACTTAAGACAAAATCAAACATCAGAAGCCTAACTACTCAGGAGCTCCAGGACCTGGTTGTTTTTCATATGCTCATTCAAATCTCACAACTCATTACATAGGAACTATTCTTCCACTTTAAGGAGGAAACAGGCACTGAGCATGTTAGTAATTTGCTCAGGGACGCACAACTAGTATGTAGAAAAGTCAAGATTTAAACCCAGGCTGGCTGCTGGGAATAAGCACATGTTACTGCCTAAGTGATACGAATGAGGTGTGAGTAGTGAGACACTGTGGCTGGAGGGTCAGAGGGCCTGTCTATTGCAGGGCTAACTCAGCAGTCAGGACCTTCATTCCCCTCCCTTTTCTGGACAATCAGGGGTCAAGATAGGGTTGGTGGTCAGTTGGTGACTACTGAGTATGATTAAGAGCAGTTTGTTTTTATGATAATTTTAACTTGGAAGTATTATTCAATATAAAGCAGTGGTTCTTAAGTGAGCATGGATTTTGCTTGGCAGGGAATTTTTGCCAATATCTGGAAGCATCTTTGGTCATCACAACCAGAGGGGGCTGCTGCTGACATCTGTTAGGCAGAGGCCAAGGATGCTGCTAAGCCCCCTGAAGCTCCTGGGCAGCCCCTACCACAAAGATCGATCCAGCCCTAAATGTACTGATGTTAAGAAATTTATTATTTCGCTCAGCATAACACCCTCAAATAAGTCAGGCAGAGAAGGACAAATACCATATGTTTGCACGTATAGGAGGATTAGGAGGAACTTAACGGAGGAACAAGGGGAAGAAGAAGAGCGGAAATGGTGGGGGAAAGGGAGAGAGGCAAACCATGAGAGACTCTTGAATGCTGACAAAAACTGAGGACTGATGGATGTGGGGGGGAGGGGGGATGGGCATAGAGGAGGACACTTATGGGGATGAGCACTGAGTGTTATGTGGAAACTAATTTGACAATAAACTATTTGTAAAAAAAAAAAAAAGAAATTTATTATCCCATCATAAAAACAAGTTCTAGAAGTAGGTTTGGAAGTTGCTGAGTTAAAAAAATGGAAGTGAAGACTCAATTTCTGACTCATCATTTCCTGAGGGCAGTTGGTTCAGTCCTTCCAGACACTTTATATACACATACATACATAACTGAAAATTTTTAAAGTATATGTGATATTTGAGAAACCATACTTAGAATTCTGCCCATCACAACCATTTTGTTTAATGTTCAGGCAACTTTTCTTGAATGTCCAAAATGTTTACTGTATTTTCTGAATTGTCTCTGATTCTTCTAGGGTCAGTTATTGTGTTTAACTTGGCCATTCTCTTTAATACTTTCTCTCCCTTAAGTCTTGTAAAATTTAACCTTGTTTTTATTTTTAAACAATGAAAGTCTCCATTTGCCATTGTGCATCTCATTTCCCCATGGTTCTCCCTGGAATACAAGGCTGGTGGGGGACTCTGCACAGGTGAGGAAGAGGATCTGAAATCAGGGACTTAGTAGAGTGTATCATGTGGAATTGCTAAAATTACTGGGGAGAGAAGCTAGAGAGAGAAACAATACCCTCCAAGTGAATTTCAGTTCTGGAATGTCTTGCCTTCTGCCCCCAATATTGCCTAAGTATGAAGATTTTTAAAAAAAAATTAATGTTTTAGTTATTTTTGAGAGAGAGAGGGAGACAGCTTGAGCAGGGGAGGATCAGAGAGAGAGGGAGACACAGAATCTGAAACAGGTTCCAGGCTCTGAGCTGTCAGCACAGAGCCCAACGCGGGGCCTGAACCCATGAACCATGAGATCATGACCTGAGCCGAAGTCAGACGCTTAACAACTGAGCCACCCAGGCACCCCAGTATGAAGATGTTTTAAACTCTGCTGTTAATTTACCCAGCTCCAATAAGCAAACCATTACGTTTCTGGAGAAAACATTCTTTGGGGAATAGTTCTCTTGCTTTATCTTAGGGATAGTTGTCACTAATTAATATTCAACATCATGATGAAAGACAGGAGAGGGATCAAGAGAAGAACCCCTCCCCCTCCAGTTACCCCAAAGTTTCTAGCAAGGAAACTGTAGGAGGGAGGGAAGTGGGGAGATATTCTTTGCTCTAAGCAGTCAATGACATGTTCATTTACCAGAGATGACAGTTGATATCATGTATTCATTTATCTCTAATTTTTAAATTGCTCCTTGACAGGTCACAGAGAGTTTGGACTACTTTCTTGAAGTCAAAATTGCCCGAACAATGTGCAAGAAAATTTCAGGAGAAAATGAGAACTGCTTATTACAACAGGATCCCCAAATGCAAAAGGTATATGCCTCAAGTGGGGGCAGGGATGGTCTCAGTAAGGTCTGTGTACCAGACTGAGAACATCAATAGGACCAATCCTGATTTGATTTTCTGGTTTCCTTTCTAAGCCACATTCTGATCATATTCAGGATCCAGGATGGCCAGGTTCTAGACATAAAGACTGTGACTATCATTTTTTGCTGATACCACCTTCCCCTGACCCCTGCCAGCACACATGTAGACACCTAGTGGCTTAAAGCAACACCCGTTCATTATTTCTCACTGTTCTGAAAGCTGGACTAGGTTCAACTGGACAGTTGTAACTTTCTCTTTCACTTTTTCAAATTTGATTTGGTGATCTTTTCATAGAAGATCTAATTTTTCTCTTTCATAATTGAAGCTGCATATACAAGTATATATATATCTGTATCTTCACAGAAGACACCTATTTAGTATATCCTTAAAGCTGGCATGAGACATGGCTAAGCAAAAATAATGGCAGATTAGTGGTTCCTTAAAATTGCCCAAATGTGCAAATAAAATACATCTTCATATTCCAATGAATACCAAATGCAAGTTGAAGGCTACATCTAGAAAGTTGGCTATTATTATAAATTATTAGAACTTGTTTCAATTAAGTAACATTTTAATTTTTTTACATTTTTAAAATTTTATTTATTTATTTTGAGAGAGAAGGAGAGAGAGAGAGAGAGACTGTGAACAGGACAGGGGCAGAGAGAGAGAATCCCAAGCAGGCTCCAAGCTGTCAGCACAGAGCCTGATACATGGCTTGAACTCATGAACCACAAGATCATGATCTGAACCGAAGTCAGATGCTTAACTGACTGAGCCATCCAGGTTCCTCAGTTAAGTAACATTTTAAAAATTTTGGTAGGGGCGCCTGGGTGGCTTAGTCGGTTGAGCGTCCGACTTTTCGCTTAGGTCATGATCTCGCGGTTCGTGGGTTCGAGCCCCGCGTCGGGCTCTGTGCTGACTGCCAGCTCAGAGCCTGAAGCCTGTTTCAGAATCTGTGACTCCCTCTCTCTCTGTCCCTCCCCTGCTCATGCTGTCTCTCTCTCTCTCCCCTAGAAATAAATAAAAAATATTTTAAAAAAATTTTTGGTAGATACTGAGAATGATATATCAAGTACCCATGTGCTTGATTTTATAACTGTTGTCATTTTATTACATTAATTTTAAATGTTTAACAAGTAAAATGTTAAACACCCTTTCCTCTCCTCCCCCCCCCACCAAAATAACTACTCAAATTCTTGAGAAGTGTTACTATCCAGGGTTTTTTTTTTTTAAATATTTAATCTGTGTATGTAGAGTTTTGTGTGTATTTCAAAAATTACAGAAATTTTGGAACTTTATCTTGCTCTTTGTTTTCCCCCACTCAACAATATGTTTTGAGATTTATGTTAGCACAATCTGATATTATTTATGCCAAATGGTTTTTTTGGGTCATATAATGTATATAGTAATTGGCTAAAATTATTTTTAATAGTGCATATTAAGCTATCATATGACTGTATTACATTGTGTAAACATCTTACTACTATAGACACTTATGGTTGTCTTAAATTTTCGCTTTTAACAACAATGCAGCAGTGACAGTTAAGACAGGTGCTGACTGAGCAGGTTTGGGACTTCCTCAGTGGGGGGCATTCATGAGTGGGGCTGCCATACTGCCACACATACGGCTTACACATTCATGGGCTACTACATGTGACTCACAACCTCAGTTTTACTCTCCAAAGTGTTTGAACCATCAGTGGTGTGTGTGGTTGTTCATGTTCCCTCAGCACTTGGGGTTGTCTTAAATGTTTTCATTCTGATGTATGTGAAAGGAGATCTCACCATTTCACATGGTCACTTCCTGATTTCTAGTAAGCTTGAGATGTTTGTTTTCTTTTTAATTTTTTTAATGTTTATTTATTTCTAGGAGAGAGAGAGACAGCGTGAGCAGGGGAGGGTCAGAGAGAGAGGGAGTCACAGACTGAAACAGGCTCCAGGCTCTGAGCTGGCAGTCAGCACAGAGCCCGACGCGGGGCTCGAACCCACGAACCGTGAGATCATGACCTAAGCGAAAGTCGGACGCTTAACCGACTAAGCCACCCAGGCGCCCCAAGCTTGAGATGTTTTAATATCTCTAGTAATCATTCATATTTGCTTTTTAATATCATTTCCCCCCCTGGAGCAATCTGAGGGCTTCTATCAGGAACCACAGCCAACCCTCTGACTTCAACTCCTCATGTCTCCCACTTTCCTGCCTCTATCTCTCCTTGGCTAAACCCAACTGGAAGCCAGAGGGTCCCCATTGATGTGGTCTATAGAGGCCACAGGGCAAGAGTGCCCATTGACACAGCTCTTGGAAGTCAGAGGGCAAGGGAACCCTTGGCACAGACAGTGGAGTTCATAGGGTAAGGGTGTCCATTGACACAGCCCATAGAAGCCACTCGGTTTTCAAGATATGCCAGGCAGAAACAGGCGTGCAGGCATGGAGAGATACATGGAGAAGAGCCAGTATGGGGGCAGGGGAGGAGACAGTAAGACCAGTCGGAGGCTGTGATGTTGGTTAAGATGGTAGAGGTGCTGGGTTCTGAATGTCTGTGAAAGGCTTGGTTGGAATTTCTGATGGATTGGCCATGGAGAGTGAGAGAAGAATCGAGGATGACTTCAAGTCTTGTGAGGTTTAGAGACAGTTTGTCTTCTTGGTTTCCTCTTATGATCTCATCCTCTATGTTGGGCATCTGCCATTCAGAAGACGTCATCACCTTGACTGAATCCACTTCTTAGCACGTGGAGAATCTTTTCTGTCTCTGTCCTTGCACAGAGTCTTTTCCCATTTCATAGAACTCATAAATTTGACCTTATTTGCTTCCTTCAATTATTTATTGGGATTTAGAAAGGAAGAAAAGGCAAACATCTGAGCTCTTTGGAATATAAATTTAAAACTTGATATGATTTAAAATAGTTATTGGCCTGATTCATTTCATGTAGAAAATTTGGAACCTTCAAAAGTATTAAATCACTTAAAATCAACTATAAATACCCTTATGTAAAGTTACCACTGTCAATATGTTGTTATTTATATTAGCTTTCCTATATTTTATATTTGTATTTTTGTGTAGTTGGAATCATACCGTCTACTGTATTATAATCTAGATTTTCACTTAATAATAAACTCTAAGAATTTCTAAAACTGTAAAATTATTTGAGAGTATCAGATAGTGAAACTGTGATTTCATTTAATGCTTGTCCACATTTTACTAAGCCAATCTCTGAGAATGTTAAGTTTTCCTAATTTTTGGCCATATGAATAGTACTTTAATGAATATCCTTTATTTCTATTTATACATATAGCTAGTTATTGTTTCCTTGTAGGTAAATTTCTGGGAAGTTGAATTATTCATTTAGTGTTTTTTCACCTCTTAATGATTTTTGATATACATTGTTTAAATGTCCTCTAGGATTGATCTTGATAATTGGGTTTTCAATTTCTCTGTTTTCTGATTGTTTCCTTTCTACTTTGCTGATCCTACCTCACCAAGACATATAGGACTCTGTACTATTCTTGTTGGGCTGCATCTCCTAGAAAGAACTCACTGGGCTTTCCATGCAAAATGGAGTCTCAGTGGGCTGCAGGGAAGTCAGTGTGGCTGGATGAGGGCCAGAACTGGATATGAAGATTTCTGAGAATAACCAGTTTCTGGGATCCAGCTATCCATGACGGCTTCAGATCACATGGAGATGAATTGGCAGCGGTCCAGCCTGGCGAACTAGGCTGGCTCCTCTGCCAGAAGGTCTCAGGTCCAAAAGCTCCAGAGGCTGTGGAGGCATGGCTGGCTCAGGCTGCCGTTAGCCACCCTGAAGCCAAATCCTAGTACTTGGAAATAGAAACTTCTGTTTATTTGTTTTGTTTTTATTTTTCTTTCTTACAAGCTGATTATTCTTTTTGTCTTTTTTAGATGTTTTATTGCACCTTTATTGTTGCAACCAAACCTTGGAAATTTGAGTTCACTATGCTGAAGAAACAATGCAAAGAGGTCTAATTCTCTTGTGTGCTGTATAGGGGCTGATTCTGAGAACATGATGCCTTTTTACAGTGTCAATCAGCCTATTCTAATTGACTCTGTCATCTACTAGCAGGGCAATCTGTTACCAATAAATGGAAGGCTGTGTAAACCTGTTTCCAATATCTCATTTAACTCTGAGCACAAATTAATTTCCACTGACAGCTGTTTCTTGAGGGCTAACTGGAGGACAGTTGTTTCTGGAAAGCTAACTAAGCTCAACTGTTTTGAGCTGGTGGGTTATTTCAGCCAGGTTCTGAGAGACTCACTTCTTTTTTTTTTTTAAATATGTTTTATTTATTTCTTCTTTTTTTTTTTTTTTTACAAATAGTTTATTGTCAAGTTAGTTTCCACATAACACTCAGTGCTCATCCCCACAAGTGTCCTCCTCCATGCCCATCCCCCCCCCCCCCCCCCCCCCCCCCCCAGTTTTTGTCAGCATTCAAGAGTCTCTCATGGTTTGCCTCTCTCCCTTTCCCCCACCATTTCCGCCCTTCTTCTCCCTCTTGTTCCTCCGTCAAGTTCCTCCTAATCCTCCTATACGTGCAAACATATGATATTTGTCCTTCTCTGCCTGACTTATTTCGCTCACTTCTTTGAGGGTGTTCTTTTCATAGATTTCCACAAAAGTCTCCCTGCCTAGGACTGCAGGGAAGATACAGCCCAATGACTTAGAAACAGTTTTAGACAACCAATCCAGCTGGAAGATCGTTGGGTCATTTGTAGATTTGCAATGTAATTTTGGTTTTGAAGTGAAGCAGAAAAAAATTCAAGGGGACTGATGTTTCATGAATAATAGGTTGTTTTGTGCATGTGTGTGTGCACAGTAGAATGTGTTAGTTATCTAATGCTGTGCAACCAATCATCCCGCCCCTAGTGGCTTAAAAAAATTATGTCTCTCATGGTGTCTGTGGGTCAGGGATCTAAGGGCGGCTTAGTGGGGTGTTTCCTCTGTCTCTTGAGTGAGTGTCTGAGTGTCTACACTCAGTCATTGACTACACTGCCCTCATATGAGGGTTAATTTGGCTCTGGAGAATCCACTTCCCAAGTAGTTCACACTCATAACTGTGAGTTGATGTTGGCCATTGACAGGAGATTTTTGTTCCCCTTAATGTCAGCCTTTCCACAGGGCCACTATGTGCTTCCTTCCGAGAGAATGTTCTGAGAGACCAAGATGGAAGCCAAAGGGCATTGAGCTCTTTGTGATCTAGCTTCAGATATAACACACCATCACCTCTTCCTTGTAGTATTGGCCACCCAGATTAGCTCTGGTTCAGTTTTGGGGGATTCTACAAGGGTGTGAGACCAGAAGATGAGGATCTGTGGAGGTCATATTGGAGGTTGGCTACCACTGTGTGTGTGTTTGTGCACATGTGTGTATGTGTAGAGGTGGGCTAAGATAATGAAGAGAGTTAACATGACCAGAAAGGAGCACTTTCTGAAACCCGGATATGAAAACTACACCACTAATGTGCAGGACAAGGCCAGCCAGGGCAGTGTCAATAGTAGCACAGGAGCAATAACACATGTCATCTTAGACATATGAGAGATGGTGAAGCTCGGAGGCCACTTTACTGACAGATAAACACTCTCCACACTAAGCCTCTCTGACTGAAGGCTTTCTCTCCACCTGTGGGAGGTGGCTAGAGTGCTGGGGAGGGAGTGCCCCAGGCTTTGTACCCCTGGAAGAAAACACTGAGGCATATTCTATCCATCTCTGCGAGGTGACAAGACAAATCCCTAGTTGCCCACATTGTCAATCTTCACTGTTGTATGCTACTTCCCATTCCTATTTACCCATTGTCCTTCTGGCATTTTCTACAATTATCTCCAAATAAAAAACTTGCACTTGAAGTTTTGTCTCAAGGTTAGCTTCTGGAGGAAACAACCTCACAGTGGAGTTCAGGTCAGCCTGGGACCACCAAGGATATGTCTGGGGAGGCCAGGCAACAAGGCACAGTTTGTCTGCACCTTCTCACCTCATCCAACAGTAGTGTCCTGGGGAAGGCATACCCTAGCCTCCATCTCCCTCCATGTGGTCGTGGAATTCTGGGGACACAATCAGAGTAGGTCTCAATCACATCCCTATTCCTGCAGCACCTGTATCTTGCAATTCTCTGCCCACCTCTGCCCCTCAGTCTCCAACCACTGTGGTGCACAGCCTGAACTGCCAGGACACTTGCTCTCTTGCTCTGTAGCTGGAGTTGGCCAGCCCCACTTGTTCCCATGAGCAGCCCCTGGTGCAGGACTTTCTCCCCTGAGCCCTGACAGTGTGGTTCCACACCTGGGAAGACCTAACACAGTCACATACTCTGGACTTATTGTTTGCATCTTACCCATAATACCTGCAAGCATCTGGGGCAAACCCGACTGTACTAACCACAGCCAAGTCAGCTGGTTAGTATTAGTGGGATACTGCTTGGGTTTAACTCTCTAAAACTACCTGGGCCCTTCTGATGCACTGAGTTAGTAAGAATGAAGAATCAGAATCAAGGCAATTACATAGACTGAGATTTCTGAGTTTTTATTTGCCTACAGTTGTCAGGGTTATATGTAAGCATGAAGAAAACTGGAATGTGTAGACATACAGGCTCTGAGACACTTTCAGTATTGGCTTATTCCCTTCCAAGATTTGAAGGCTCATTAAGGCCAAGCCTGGGCCACTGGTGGTGGGGGGAGCATGGGGGTGGGCAGCTGCCAGTGAGAAATTGCATCCAGCTCTCAAACTTCTCTGTAGAAATTGTGCTCTTTAGAGACACGTGGATGACAGAAGCATTGGCTTTGTCACCATGTCCTCATTTTCTCTTTGATCACAGGAAATTTTGAAGAAAAGAGAGTAAAAAATGTACCTTGAAGCAGGGTATGCTCCTTTCCTGGGTTAGAAGAGGGCCAGGGAGAAGCCAAGGTATTAGGATCTGAGGGGAGTCAGCATCAGGGACTGGAATAGATATCTGCAATATGCAGAGTCATGCTAAGGCTCATCCACAGGTCAAGAGCTGCAGGCTTCTGGGGGTACATTCTCATGTATATCACCTTCCAGCTCTCCCTCCCCCAGGTTCCAGTCCTCTTTATCCTTCTGGCCCCAACGGGAGAGACCCGGGCATCCTCCAAGCTTCCTCAAAATTTCCACTTCGCTGTTACTTTGTGTTCAGTTCTATATTTACTGAGGCTATTTCATGACCCTGACACCCTGGAAAAGTTGAGGAAAGTGTCCAATGTTCCCTGAGAGATGGTGAGGTAGCCACAGAGCAGAATATTGTTAATGTGTGACAACCATTTGACAACCAGCATAGCTATTTTTGAGGCTGCAGGTCTTGACCCAGAGACTGAGGCTGACAGGTCAACCAACAGCTAGGGCAGAGGAACCAACACTTGACTCACATTTCAGGATAAGTAGGAGCCCTCCTGAGACTGAGCCATGGGCTGGGATTCTTTTCCTTTCAGGCAATTGGGACCTGGCCAGGAAGCTGATCTGTGTTCCTAGCAACTTTCTGCCTCTGCCTCTGGTAGAGTTTGCCTAAAGACCTACTCAGGGCAATACTGAGTATGCAGAAACCCATTTCCTTATGCCTTTAATGTACAGACTCTGGCAAAGAAGCAGGAGGGACCTCCCAAGCCAAAAAGGATGGACAGGATAAGGGAAAAGGGTCTTCCCACAAGAACTGGTCCCTCAGTCCTACACCTGTTACAAAGCTGGAGCACCTGAAACATGTACTCACCCCCAGGTCCCTGGGGGCACTGTAGGGACTGGGACAAAATCCCACTCTCTGTAGATTCCCATGGGGGCGGGAGGGGTGGAACCATTAACAAAGCCCCACAAATGTGACCTGGGGCAAAATTTAGTGAGACTCTGCCAGGAGCCACTGTGGTGCCTGCCTTGTGGGCTCCACTCCCCTAGTCCTAGGAGGTGGTGTGAGATCACAAAGGGCCTATACAGGTACCTCTCACACCCCACCACAGGAGACTGTCTCCTAGAGCTACCTGATGATACTTCCCTGTTGGGATCACAGTGGGTAAAGAGTCCCCTTTATGCTCTCCCCCTCCTGTGGATTGAGGCATAACTCAGAACAGACCAGTGTGGGAGAAGGCAGGAAGGTGGTGAGTGGAAGGATCTTCAAAAAAATCTACATAAGTCTGGGCCTAGGCAGGAGGGCTATGGGACAAGAGAACAGCTGTGCCCATGCTGAGTGATGCTGGGCCGACAGTGAGGATGCCCACTGCTAGGCTCTCCCTGTCTCTGCCTGGAATACTGGGAAGCCAGGTCTCTATGGAGGAGGAGCCCTACTACTACAGTAGTAGCCCTGTCTACTACTACACGTCTGCTGAGTCCCTAGTGAGCCCCTGTGATGCGGACTAGAGGATGCAGGTAATTCATTTGGGAGATGATCATGGAGGCACACAGAAAAGAAGGGAGTCAGAGGAGGGAAAAGTCAGTGTGGCTATTGTTATGGGTCACTGAGCAGCCATGGATTTTGTCCTTCTGGAGAGTGTGATACGTTGTGGATCTTACCTCTAACAGCTTTTCTGAGGCTAGGACACTGAGTCTTTCTCCACTACAGCCCTACCTTGGGATGGAGTGTTACCTTACTTCTCCCCACTGAGGTGTGCCTGCTCTGCTTCTGGAGTTCCACTTGCACAGAGGAAGACCTGAGCAGAAATTGGGGGGAGACAAGGATATTGGGATGAAGAAGAGTGTGTCAGCCACTGGGTAGTCCAACTGCATGGACACTGAAGGGATGACTAGTTGGGAGGTGCTCCCACAGTTGCAGAACAAAATGTGGCCCCTGCTTATGTGTAAATAGAACATCTTTATTTGTGTTCATATTGCCTATGGTACCCCAGGCAACACTGGTGAGTTGTGAACAAGACTATTTGACCCACAAAGGCCAAAAGTTTGCCTCAAATTTTCTTCTAGAAGATTCATGAAACAGAGGCCATGTGTCCTGAGGGCCTGGGAGCCTATATGGGTCCATCCTGTACTTTGGGTTCCCTGCAGGGTCGTGGTCATTGCACCTCATTGCAGGTCATCCCTCATGAGCCCAGAACAGCAGCTCAGAAGTACCTGTGCTTCCAGGTTGTGCAACTTGGAACTGGCTCCTGAGGTCCTGGAGGTAAAAGAACTCACACAATTGGGACCAGGAGGTTTCCCTGAGGATGATTCCTTCACTTGCTCATCCCCTCCTTCTGGAACCATGCCACACAAAGCTTCATGAAATGCTGATTTTTAATTATCTATTCTACGTGAATAAAATGGACAATGAGGAATTTCCATAATGGATGGAAGTGAGACCCAGAACAGAGCCTGGGCTTACACAGCCACAGAAGTGATACAAGAAACCACTAGATACAGAACAGCCAGAGACAGTCAGGATGTGACATCACTCAATGGAAGCCTTCCAAGCAGGTTTTGTACAGGAGTTTGAAGGAGGTTTTCCAGGGCATAGTGATAATGGTGAAGAAGCAGTTGAAAGTCTGAGGGAACAATTTCAGGTAAAAGGTGAATGGAGAGTGGTGGAAAACAGAGGTTTTAGCTCTCAACATAGCACACATTCCAACCACACATCCTGGGGTGAGCAGCTAGGGATGCAGGCTGTAGCCCTCAGGTGCATCCCCATCTGAGCTGTGCCTGTTCTGGAACTGGGACCTTGTTCTGACCTCAAGGACTCCTGTACCATGTTCTCATCCTTAGACAAGTGGGACTCCAGGGGAACACTCAGGCTGATGCAGTGTGACCCAGACCCCTAGTAGAGCATTAGGGTGCTCTCTCCCAGGAGACGCTATCTCAGAGGAGCCCCTCACACCAGGAGGTCATGTCCCAGAGCTGGGGCTCACCTTGAACTTTTCCCCTGGAGCAGCAGCTGATAGATCAGTGGGATACAGGTCAGGGAATGGGAGGGACAAGTATGGGATCCCCCTCAACCCTCACATCCTCACGCACTCAGCAGAGACAAGGGAACCTCAGAAATAGCCACAACAGGCCAGGTGATGTAGCCCACCCTGACATGCCCTTCCTCCTGCAGGCAGAAAAGGGAGATGGATAAAGCTCAGAGAAGGGACTTTGTGTTTCAGCTCCAGGAGACATGTGGACCCTTGTGGCCAAGAGAAATCTGACTCCCCCATGACCCATGGGGCAGGCACCTAGAATGGGATTAGTGGACAGAGTTAGTTATGAGATTGGCCAGGGGGCTACCAGTCAGCCCCGGGGCTTGCCTGCCCAGCCGGGCTCCTATAGTAACACAAGCCATGGGTGTGACAGGGCCGGTTCCCCCCTCATTCATCTGTGTCCCAAGGAATGGCACTGTCATCTTCACCTTCCCCTCTGCCCCAAGCTGTATCCTCAGCTATGCAACCTGAGGTTACCTGCTGCATGTCTTACATTGTTCAGCTCTGAGCTTTCTTGGAAGGGACAGTTGTCAATATCATCATCAAATTTCCCACATTCGGTTCTGTGGAACTCCAGCTCCATGGAGAAGGCCAGGCTGTCTTCTATCTGTGGTACATGGAGACAATAAATGCCAACCCACCTCATGGTTCTGTTGAGTTGCTAGTGTATATCTGTGCAGTGTAGGGAGAGCCCAAACACTCCTCCACTAGTGAGCTGCCTCTGGGGCTGGCAGCCTACTGGGGGTAAGACCAATCCTGGGAATTCAGAGCAAAGAGGCCTGTGGTTGATATTCAGGCCAGGGGGAGATGCCAGCTGAGTCATACACAATTAATACATCACACCCTGCAGCCCCAGGTTCCAAGATGTCCCTGAGAGATCCAGCCTGATATCCAGCATGCTTCTGAAGCAGCAACAGCACGCCTCGGGGCACAGGTGTCCAGTGCCCAGTGCCCAGTGCCCATGAGGGTGTTGGCTTTGTTTTTTTTTTTTTAATGTTTTATTTATTTCTAGGAGAGAGAGAGACAGCGTGAGCAGGGGAGGGTCAGAGAGAGAGGGAGTCACAACACTGAAACAGGCTCCAGGCTCTGAGCTGGCAGTCAGCACAGAGCCCGACCCGGGGCCCAACCCACAAACCGCGAGATCATGACCTAAGCGAACGTCGGACACTTAACTGACTAAGCCACCCAGGCGCCCCAGAGGGTGTTGGCTTTGTAAGAGTTTGCTGAGTAACATCAGCTTCAGAGTGGGAGACTCATCTAAAGCCCCATTGTCACACCTATCACCTGCCAAACAACAGGAAAATGCCCTGCAGTGCTACCAGAACACTCCCAGGTATGCACACACACACCCACAGATGACCATGGCTTCTGGATACTACTTGTCTTATTACAAAGTGCTGCTGGAATTCTCTCTACTCTTCTCCACTCTATTGTCCCTCATTCCATCCCATACCACCTACCCCACCCTCCAGTATCCCCGATACCCAAATTGAGTGTGAGTGCAGATCTCGGAAACCCACAGCAGAGGTGCAGCCTGAGAGAACATGGGCAGCAGACCCAGCCAGGAGCTGGCACCATAGTGCCCACAGAGGCTGGAGCTCATTCAGGGTGGAGCTTCCACTGCCTTTCCCTTTGGCTCTCAGGACAGAAGTATAGAGGGAGAGAGAAGAAGTTCCTGGGCTCCCAATGTGCAAACACACACACACACACACACACACACACATTCACAGACATACACATTCACACACACCTAAATACACATGAGCAGTCCTGCTTCTAGTACAGTGCCCACATGAAAACGGTATTCCTGGATGCATTCTGCAGATGCCTGATTACAAGGCCTTTAAGTCCTTGCTCTGCAGGTTGAATATGTATAAGGCATACTCCACGGTGGCAGGGAAATGATTTTCCATGTCCTTTTGTTCATTGCTGTTCCTTTCCTCTTGGGAACTCCAGCTGTGAGTCCCCAGGAGCTGGAAACCTAAGAGAAGCAGGAGCATAGCCCAGGGCAGAGCCCATCTGCACTCCCAGTGTGGCATGGCTTCAGGCATCTGGGCACCCATGGCCTTTGCTCTCTCAGCTCAGGCTCCCACTGAGCCTCCCTGGGCATTTTTCCAATTCATTGGCTCCAAAACAACTCTTCTTTCAGGCCTCTTTCTGTTATTACACCCTGTTCCTTTGATCTGTTACTCTGCCTCCTCCATCCAAATATATCAGTGTGCCTGTTGTCCAGGAGAGAGAACAAGCCTCAGACATGGTGGGTTGGAAAAACCAGCAATGGTACAGAGTGGTCTCCTGTAGCTCATTCCCTGCCACAGCCTCCTACTCAGCATATTACTGGGGAGAGACTTCATTTGTGTGCCCCAGAATCAGAAGCTGAAACAAGCATACAAAAGTAAGAAGAAATGGAAGATGTTCTCAGAAGACATTGGTAGGGTATGGCCACTGAGGGAACCTGGGACAGAGCCAAAAATAATGCATTGCCAATACCCCACTTTGTGGGTGACAGAAGGCAAACCTGCAAAGGAACTCTCTAGGAAAGAGCCCAAAACACCTTCCTGAGAATCAGCAGCCTGAAGGGTGGGGCCTACAGGAGCCCATGGGTCCTGACAGGGCTTGGGCATCACTATCTTATTGCTGTAGCCCTGCACATCCTACTGGCAAAGAGACATGAGAAATACAGTAGGTGCTGACATAAAATGTGATACAGTGGGACAGTCCCAATACCTGCCATATATGAAAAGAGAAAAGTTTTGGCAAATCTAAAATTTAATGCCTGAGGAGTCAGAGAGAGAGGCAGGACAAAGAGATATGAACAAATCCATATATTCAGTACCAGGTACTCTTCCTGTAGACACAGTTACTGCCTTTGACAGAAGCCTGAGCAATGGGTGAGAATTGTGTAAGGCATACTTCTAGAGTATCTTTAGCTCCATTGCATTCCCATGAGCTTGTTGGAAACAGCAAAGTGTGGATCCCAGAAGAGATTTTTAGCACTGGGATTGTTCAATGACTCTGAGTGTGACCAGAGGTTGTACTTGAGCTTTAGACCAAGCACAGCTCCCGACACTGAGTAAGTCAGTCTGTTCTCTGTCCAGTCCTCCCACCAGGGGTCCCCCAGTGCTCTACCCTTACCATCTGCAACACCTGGTGCCTATTGACACCACATTGTGTGTGATCCCTGACACTCATACTGAACCTCCTGTCCACACAGAACCACACAAGCATGAATTTTCCATGTCATGTTTCTCTCCCATGTGAGAACAAGGAGGTAGACTCATTCTCCACCTCAAGCATGGACATCTATATCTCCCTTTAAAGTCCTGTATTGTGGGTCTATTCCCTCACACACATCACTAGTCAGCAGGCAACTGCCAGAATGTTCTTATAGTAGTGGTGATACTGTATGTGAATGGAAGCTGGCAGCCTCTGGAGCAGTACAGTCACAGTGAAGTGATGTTAAGAGGGATGATCATCAGGAAGCTCTAGTACTCATTAACATGCATCCAATAACACCACCGAGTGGGACTATTCAACACAGCAGCTGATGAAGTTATGGAGAAAGTGGGCAATTGGACATGATATTGGAAGATGCCATCCCGTGTCTCAAAGCTGATACCAGGAAGGCTAAATATTATAAAGAAAGCAGCAGAGTTGAAAGTTGAATGAACTAGTCTACTTGCACAATATTTGTAACCCTTTTCATCCAATATAGAATATGGATTTTTGAAAAACCTGACAATCATGCAAATAAAGTGTTAGTTATAAAGCTATTTTCAGCCCAAGATTAGATTATAGGTGATGGGACACTGGGTCCATCAGCTTCACAGGCACTGGAGAGGTATTTGTGTCAGTGGAGGATTTGGGGGTGCAGCCATGGCCCAAGGACCTATGAGGCCCCTGTTTGTGTGTGTAAACACTGGAAGACAACACTGTAATATGTGTTCACATTCTCTCTGAAGTTTCAGAACAACACTGAAGAGATGAGAATAAGACCATTGGCCTTCAAAAGCCAAAATAGTTAAAGTCTTTTTAATAGAAATTGTCTGCCAAATATGCACCCAGGAGATTCAGAGAGTCTCATAGCATTTGGTAGAGCAGTAAGTAAGACAAATTTTAATTGTCTGTGGGCCTGCAGAGATTTCATGAAAATGCAGCCTCCTTGTCCAAAGGTGGGAATCCCTGATGAGACATTCCTGAGGCTCTAGGAGATGCTTCTACTCCTGGTGGTAGTATCTGGATTATTCTGTCGGTGGAGACTACAGACCTCCCATACCCTCACAGCTGTGTGGACCAGGGAATGGGTGTGAGCAAGCCCCCAAGACAGAGGCCTCATGTGTCCTGAGGGCCTATCAGGTCCATTCTGTACTTTGGGTTCCCTGCCAGTCATTGCACATCTGGAGATGCTGGTCATCCCTCATAAGCCCAGAACAGCAGCTCAGAAGAACCTGTGCTTACAGGTTGTAACACCTGGAGCTGGCTCCAAAGGTCTTAGAGGGAAGAGAACTCATACAATTGGGACCATGAGGTTTCCCTGCTGGATGATACCTTCACTTGCTCATTCCCTCCTCCTGGAACCATGTCACAGAAAGCTTCTTGAAATGCTAATGTTTAGGGACTCTTAGGTGATTCAGTCAGTTGAGTGTCCGACTTCGGTGTAGTCATGATCTCACGGTTCGTGGGTTCAAGCCCAGTGTCGGGCTCTGTGCTGACAGCCAGCTCAGAGCCTGGAGCCTGCTTCGGATTCTGTGTCTCCCTCTCTGTCTGACCTTCCCCTACTCACGCTGTCTCTCTCTCTCTCAGAAATAAATAAAACATTAAAAAAAAGAAATGCTTATGTTTAATGATTTTTCTACATGAAGAAAATGAGTAAGGAGGAATTTTCAGAATTCCTCAATAAGAAACACCAGATATTTGCAAAATAAAGAGAACAAAACTTGGACCTGCTGAAAGGCCATGTACAGGACATCACTGGTGTCCCAGAAGAGAGCAGCCAGAGCCAGGTGGGCTGTGGTCTTATTAGTGAAAGCCATCCAAGCAGGTCTTATTCCAGAGTTCAAACAGTGTTAACCAGGGCTCACTGGCGATGGTAAAAAAGCAGGTGATGATCTGAGGGTCAAACACAGGATGAAAGATGAGGGGAGAGTGGTTAGAAATAGTAGCTCCGGCATTAAACACAGCACACATCCCAATCACACATCCCACGATGAGCAGTTGGAGATGCAGGCTGTGGCCCTCAGGTGCATTCCTGACTGAGCCCTGTCTGTTTTAGGTCTGGGACCTTGTCCTCATCTTAGGGGCTCCTGTGCCAATTTCTCATCTTTAGGCCAGTTGTGTCCAGGTGAATGCTCAGGCTGATCCAGTCTAACCCAGGCCCCTAGTAGAACATTGGGGTGCTGTCTCCCAGGGGGTGCTATCTCAGAGGAACCCATCACCTTAGGTGAGATATGTCCCAGAGTTGGGGTTCACCTTGAGCTTTTCCCCTGGAGCAGGAGCTGATAGGTCAATGGAATCCAGTCAGGGCATGGGAAGGAGGGCCATGAGCCCCTTCTCAATCCCCATCCCATGGATTCTTTTCTCAGTGGGTCCCGAGAAAGCCATTTTGGCAAAGGCATGATGCCCATATCAACATGCTGCTTCTCCGAATTCTTTAGAGAAAGGAGATCAATAAAGACCAGAGAAGGGATGTCCTATGGCATTCCCAGGAGATCTGGACCTTCATGAGTCATGAGCAATTTGACACCACTGAGGTTTTGGGGGGTCAGGGGCAGGCAGCTAAGCATGGGGTGAGTGCTCAGAATCAGTTACCAGATTGGTCAGAGACCTGCCAATGGACCCCGGGGCTGGCCTGCCCAGCTGGGATCCTACTGCAGCACCAGCCATGAGTGTAATAAGGCCTGAAGCTCCCTCACTCCTCTATGTCCAAGGAATGGCACTGTCATCTTCACCACCTCCCCTCTGCCCCCTGCTGCATCCTCAGCTATGTAATCCGAGGGACCTGCTGTGTGTCTTACATTGTTCTTCTCTGAACTTGCTTGAAAGGGACAGTTGTCAATGTCTTCATCAAATTTCCTGCATCTTGTTCTTCTAAGCTGAAGCTCAAAAGAGAACGCCAATGTGCTGTCCTTGAACTGTTACAGACATGGACATTATTAACACAAGAACTCCCCTCATGGTACCCTTGAGCAAGTGCTAGTGTAGATCCATGCAGCATAGAGAGAGCCCCAAACACTCCTTCACTGGGGAGCTGCCTCTGGGGATGGGTCAGCTTGCTGGGAGTAAGGCCAATCTTGGAGAATTCAGAGCAAAGAGGCCTGTGGTTGGTATTGAGGATAGGGGGAGATGCCAGAGGAATCATACACCATTAATACATCACACCCACAGCCCCATGTCCCCATATACCCCAAGGAGACCCAGCCTGATGTCCAACGTGCTTCTGAAGCTACAACAGCACTCCTGGGGCACAGGTGCCCAGTGCCTGGCAAGGTGTTGTCTCTGTAAGAGTTTGCTGAGCAACAGCCCCAGAATGTGAGACTCATTTACAGCCCCATTGTCATACCTGTCACCTGCCTGACAACAGGAAAATGCCCTGCAATGCTGCCAGAACACTCACATATATGTATGCATGTGTGAGTGCACACTCACACACACAAGCATACACACACACGTACATGGCTCCTGGATACCTCTTGTTCTATTACAAAGTGCATTCTGAAATTTTCTGATCTCTTCTCCATTCTACTCTGCTTCATTTCATCCTATACCCCCCACTCCACCCTCCATTACACCCAACACCCAAACTGAGTGCAAGTGCAGATCTGAGAAACCCACAGCAGAGGTGAAGCCTGAGAGAGTCTGGGTGGCAGACCCAGCTGAGAGATGGCACTGCAGTGTCCACAGAGGCTGGAGCTCATGCAGGGTGGAGCTCCCACTGCCCTTCCCTCAAGCTCTCAGGGCAGAAGTCCAGAGGGAGAGAGAGGAAGGTCCTGGGCTCCCACTGTGCACACACATATTCACTCACAGACATATATACTCACTGACACACGCTTGCTGTATGCTCACACTCACAGACACACTACACAATAATGCACATTCACTCACACTTACATACACAAAGAGTCACACATTCACTCAAAAACTAATACGCATATACACACTTGCACTCAAGTTCACTGACACACTCACACCCACACCTACACACTCCAAACCCCTTTACACTCACAACTAGACCTGTTCCTGTTAGAGCCCCTGTGAAAACAGCATTCCTGGCTGCATTCTGTAGATGCTCCGTTATAAGAACAGTACTCCAGGATTGAGAACCATGGTCTAGGAAAGGTATAGAATAGCTTCCTCCTCTCAAATGGAGACCACAAGAGGAGTGCAGAGAAGAGGCCCTGAAGTCACAGAGGATGCTCTGGATGAGGGATAATCCTTACTCCTTGGACCTCAGTCCCCTCTCCCTCCTTCTTTCTTGGCATCTGTTCTCTGTTTCTGTTTGCATATGTTTCTTAGAATATTTCTTTAATGTGTCTCTTCTGTCATTTCTCAGTCTATCTCCTTTTCCTTCTTTCTATCTTGGTCTTTTCCTTACTCAGGATATTTATCATTTAATAGTCCATATTTTGATCAATAAGTAATTTCTTAAAATGATGAAGAGGAAAACATCTTATATGCAGTATACATTGAGATGGGTGTTTACATTTTTAAATAGTTTCTTTCATAAACCTGTAACTAGCTATGGGGTTTGTATTTTTGCAGTATTACAGATTTTAGATGATGACCAATATCCCTAGATAGGACTCCATACCTCTGACCCTGACTTCATAGCAAGTGCAGGTCATTAGGCCAGAAGATGTGGTACCTACCTGCTCTCTCCTGGACTTCACGATGTGCACCAGCCTGTAGGCATTCGTATCGTGGCTCTGCAGATTGAATATGTGTATGGCGTACTCCACAGTTGCAAGCAAGTAGCTCACCATAGGTTTTTCACCCTCACTCTCTACTTCCTCCAGGAACTCAGAACCTAAGAGAAGCAGCAGTATGGCCCAGGGCAGAACCCACCCACACCGCCAGCGTGGCATGACTACAAATACCTGGACACTCATGGACTTTGCCCTTCTAGCTCAGGCTCCCATCGAGTCTCCTTGGGAATTGGTCCAGTACATTAGCTTCAGAACAAATCCTTCCTCTGGACCTCCTCTTTGCTATTATACCCTGTTCCTTCCCACGTGTCACAAAGCCTCCCCCATCCCAAGCTGCATAATTGCCTCCTGTACAGAGAAAGGGACAAGCTCAGGCAGGGTGGTTTGGAAAGAACTAGCAATGGGAGTGAAGGGTCCTCTGTAGCTAATTTCCAGCCACAACCTCTTCCTCAGCACCTCCCAGGGGAGGGACTTCATCTGGATGTCCCAGAACCAGAGGCTGAAACAAAGACACAAGAGCAAGAGGTAGAAGTGGAAGGTGATCCCGGGACACAAGAGTAGACTAAGGGCCACTGAGATAAGGACAGAGCCAAAAGGACGAGTTAGTTGCCAAGAGTCAGCTTTGGGGAAGACAGAGGCACCCTGTCCAGAGAAAATGAGTGTCATAGGAAGGAAAAAGTATGGAGGTTTGATGGACCCACATGTCTGTGTCCCTCCTCAGCTCCCCAGCCACCCTTGAGCAGTTGAGCAATCAAGGCTCACTGGCTCCTGGGATGATGCCAGGGTAGGGGAGTTTGGAGTTCCAGAAGCTCATTGCATCTCCATTTGTACTTCTCAGCCATGTGTTCAGCTTGGGGACCTGGCTGGGTGATATAAGAGTCCTCTCTCCAAAGGTGTTGCAGCAGGGTGACCCTTGACACACCCTGGACCTATAGATAGGTCCCTTTGTAGGAATTTGCTCCAAGGGAGGCAGGTGGAGTAAGAGACAAACAGACACAGAGCAAAGCCATTAAGCTCACAGAGAAGGCTGAGCTGTGACCATTAGGTGAGCATAGGTGCCCTCTGGTGGCCATGGTTCTCAGGGCTCAGTGAACACCATTTCTTGTGTGCAGAGTCTGGATTCTAGAAAAAGCCTCCACCTGGAAGAGCAAATGAGACTCTCTTTGGAAGAACTAAAGAATACATTTTTCCAAAACAAGGCTTCAGCTTTGTGCCTGTTAAAGGCTTCAGTACATGTCTGTAGCTACTTGTGAGCTCAGGGGGACCAGAATACCCTGAAGGCCTGTGGACACCCAGGACCCTGAGTCTTTCCCTCACTCAGGATTCTGACCCAGTCAGTCTGGCAGGGTGGGAGAGTTTGCATCTTCACCTGCTCCTGGGAGATGCTGATGGTCCTGGTCCTGGACCACATGTTGGGGAGCACAGTTCTGAGGGAGTCCCTGGAAGGGGTGCCGCTGAATTACAATGAGAAATCACTCAAGTGCAAGGGCAAGGGCTGAGGCTGAGGCTAGTTTGTAGAGGCTTCACTGATCAGGGAAGGAGTTGCCACTCCTTGCCTTCTGTAGATGCAGACCCCCCAGATGTTAGTGACCAGATGGTCCTGTGGATGGAGAGAAGGCTGCTTTGAAGCTGACAGCCTGTTCTCACTGCACAGAGGCCCTCAGAGCTGGCGTCCTTCCCAGAATGGGGCCTCTCAAAACTCATTCTCATATTAAACAATGCCCATAAATTTATTGATTCATCTTTTTTTCCCATTTTCCACTATTGTGATAAGTTTTGTGGCAAATATTTCTTTTTTATGTAGTAAAACCTTGATTTGCGAGAATAACTCATTTTAGAGTCATGCTTGTAATCCAAAGCACTTGTATATCAAAGTGAATTTCAAAAACCATTGGCTTAGTTATGATTATGTGATGTTCGGCATCACATTCTACTCATATTGCAAGACATCAGTTATTTATCAAGTTAAAAATTATCAGAAATGTTTGCTCATTTTGCAAACACTCGCACAAGTTATTCAAAATCTAAGGTTTTACTGTGTGTATTTTTATACCTGATTATTCTTTCTTTGTAAGCACAATTCCCAGATGTTCAATTGCTTATTCTATATTGTTTCACTTATTCAGAATTTTGAATACATATTGTGTAAATATTGTTTTTGTTTCCCAAGTCATGTTTGTGATGATTCTATCTACATTGGCTTCTCCAGATGGTAAGCAATTGCTATATCTTTTGACAAGTCCAAATCTCAATCACTGCCCTTTCTAGGAATACTCTGTACCTGTTACTCTATCCTGGAAGCCCCTCCAGCCTTGATATAGGTCAATTGGTGCTATTTTCCCCTTTAGAATTACCCTACACCTTTATGCCTTATAAAGTTGCAGTATACCTGATTCTGCCATATATTTTCCATGTCATGGAGGTATTCATAGTTTCTTCAGAGATGTGGGGAGCCATGCTGAGTCTCACACATATGGCATGGACTGCAGGCATCTGGGGTAGGTCCTTATGTATATCACTGGACAGTCCATTATCCCATGCTCCAGCCATCTTCCTCCTTTTATCCTCGTGGGGGGAAGCCTGGGCAGCTATTCTCCACTTCATTGCTACTTTGTGTGCAGTCTTATATTTATTTTCCCCAGGATGTCTCCTGACCCTGAAATCCTGGGAAAGCTGAGAGTAGTGTCCAATGTTCCCTGGCTAGAGCAAAAGAGACCACAGAGCTGAGTTTTTGATAATCAACATAGGTATGTTCTTCTCATGTCCCACATGATTCACGAATACAGGCCCAGGAATTCATTCTTTTGTCAGAAATCTTGGCTTTCAGGTGGTTCCAGGGAATGGAGATTGCCCCTCCCAACACATGGTGTCAGGAGCTCATGTCCAAATATGACTTGCCTTCTAAGGATGCCCAGTGTTCTGGCTGTTATCATTGTGAGGGGCCAATCACTGGTCCTGGAGGAGTTTCTAGCCCCCTGTGGTGAAGTTTGGAACCAAAGCCTGTCCCCACAGCCTATGAGCCCAGGGCACTGGCAGATGCCTACAGTCAGTGATGCATCACTGGAGGTGGCATGAGCTCTGACCCTTACATGGGCAAGTGTACATTCTCAAACAGCATTTCCTCCAGATTATTACTTTCAGGCATTGTCCACTTCCAGACAATGTGGAGCAGGCTTCCCAGTGTGCTAACTTAGTAATGTCCCCTCTCTGGTGAGCTCCCTGAGTGTTCTTGCCTGAGCTGGGGCCATTTTTATCAAGTGTTGGGTTCCAGTGATTTTCAGGCAAATTCTCCATGGTCAGGGTTGCATACTGCTCCTCTCTTAGGATATGTCAATATAAATGTCCATTCTTAGGTCATTCAAATGTTGTCATTCTCTTTTTTTAAAATTTTTTTAAATATTTTATTTATTTCTAGGAGAGAGATAGAGACAGCAAGAGCAGGGGAAGGTGAGAGAGAGAGAGGGAATCACAGACTCTGAAACAGGCTCCAGGCTCTGAGCTGGCTGTCAGCACAGAGCCCGACGCGGGGCTCGAACCCACGAACCGCGAGATCATGACCCAAGCGAAAGTCAGACGCTTAACCGACTAAGCCACCCAGGCGCCCCTCATTCTCTTTTTTAAGATGAGTTATTTCTATGGCATTGATTTCAAAATGATCAGTGAGTATCACCTTTCTGCTGGTAAGATATTCCATTCTAGAACATCTCTGCAGGATAATCTCATGACAAAAAGAGTCAAGGGCATAGAAGTGATTCTGTCCACCATCTCATTATTAAGATGGAAACAACAATATCCCAGGAAAATATTTAAAATCTAGTCCTAAGTGCTTGTTCCCAGACTGAAGTAATATGTGTATGTGGCATGAGGACTGTAGTTACAGGGCAATTGGTTGCTCAGATGGTACCAGGATCTGAAAAGTTCACAATGCAATCAAGGTGACCTGTCTCAGCCTTTCCTGCCCTCACCCCCACTAGATTCATTGACCATCATATTGCAAAGTAGTTAATAACAAATCTGTTCCTTAGCACACACAAAGTTTTACTGTTGCTGTACTAGAAACAAGAAAAGGACATTGATATTTTAGTTCATCTTTTGAACAGTGGAGATCTTCTTTCTTGCTGGATTAAGGATGAGAGAATGAGAATCAAGATGTCCCCAGATCTCATCTCAGAATGTTGCAGGGGGCTGAGGAACAGGATCGGATTGTGCAAGGACATCAGGCAATATAAGGAGATCCAAGGGAAAAAGGTCAATTGGTGTGGGCTCCAAAGAAGCAACTTTCCTAACTAGTGGGGGTAGTGGGGGTTTGCATTGTAGTTTCAACCTGATCTGTTTGTCTGTCTATCTATCTATCTATCTATCTATCTATCTATCTATCTATCTATCATCTATCCATCTATCTATCAATCATCTATCTACCTATTTATCATCTATCTATATATCTATCACCTATCTATGAATCATCTATTTATCTTTCGTCTGATTTTACACGCATGCGTGCACGCACGCACACACACACACACACACACACACACACACACATACTTTTTCTTGGTTAAATCAACCTTAAGTATCTTAAATATTCAAGTGTGTCCTAGCTGGTACATCTTGCCCAGCGTTTCATGATGCTATGGTTGAGATGAGATGTTAGCAGGGGTTGCTGTCACCTAAAGACTTGACTGGACTGGATGATCTACTTCTAAGAGATCTGTCCCCATGATTTTTGGCTGGAAGCCACACTTTCTCACCAGCTGTGTTAGGAATACTCATGGGCCTTTTCTTTTTAGGAAACATTTTTACTTATTTTTTTCATTTTTAAAAAATTTATGTCCAAGTTAGTTAGCATATAGTGCAATAATGATATCAGGAGTAGAAGTGGTTCCCCCTACATATTATACCCAGTGCTCATCCCAACAACTGTGCTCCTTAATGCCCCTTGCCCACTTAGCCCATCCTCCTACCCCAAACTCCTCCAGCAACCCTCAGTTTGTTCTCTGTATTTGTCTCTGTTTTGTCCCCCGTCCTTATTTTTATATTATTTTTGCTTCCTTTCCCTTATGTTCACCTGTTTTGTATTTTAAACTCTATATATTAGTGAAGTCATATGATATTTGTCTTTCTCTGACTGATTTCTCTTGGATTAAATGGGATACTCTAGCTCCATTCATGTTGTTGCAAATGGCAAGATTTCATTCTT